CCCAACACTCCCAACGTAGACCCACACTCCACACTCCCAACCCACACACCGACCCACACCCCCAACACCGACCCACACTCCCAAAGACCCACACTGCCAACGGAGACCTACACTGCCAACGGAGACCCACACCCCCAACGCCGACCCACACCCCCAACGCCGACCCACACTGCCAACGCAGACCCACACTGCCAACTCCAACCCCCACCCCCAACGCCGACCACACTCCCAACGGAGACCCACACTGCCAACTCCAACCCACACTCCCAACACTCCCAACGCCGACCCACACTCCCAACGCCGACCCACACTCCCAACGCCGACCCACACTCCCAACGCCGACCCACCACTCCCAACGCCGACCCACACTCCCAACGCAGACCCACACTCCCAACGGAGACCCACACTCCCAACGGAGACCCACACACCCAACACAGACCCACACTCCCAACACAGACCCCACACTCCCAACACAGACCCACACACTCCCAACACCGACCCACACTCCCAACACCGACCCACAAGGCACACCCTAAAATAGACTTGGTGAAAAATTGTTCATGGATTTGTTGGGTCAAAAGACAAGGGAGCACTCCTGCACCTTGAGGAAAAAAGGTTTAACCTTCACCTGTAAACTCGTGAAGTAGCCTTTTCCCAGAGCCAGCCCTGGCCAACTCAGTGGATTCCTTCAAAAGGAAGGCTGGATGTGTTCCCAAAGGCTCAAGTTATTGCTGGCCACTAATATGTATACTAACACACAGAGAAACAGCACAGAACAAGGCATGGTGAGTCTCTAATGGGGTTTAATCTATGTATTCAGAAAGACTTCTTTACAGTAAGAGCTGTAAATGTGTGAAGTGTTCTCTCCTTTGAGCTGGTTCTAGCCAACTCAGTGGGTTCCTTCAAAAAAGGCTGGATATGTTCCTAACGGCACAAGATATTTATGGCTACTAATATTTATACTAATACACAGAGAAACCGTGCAGAGCAAGGCATGTGAGTCAGTAAGGGCTCGTTCACACTTGGCTGTTTTACCAACGCTTGCCAAACGCCCCTATAGCGTTTGGCAAGCGTTGGTCCGGTGTTTGCGGAGCTTTTTTTAACGCTCGGCAAACGCTCCGCAAACGCCGCATGCGCGGTTTAGTGGAGGTTGCTAGGCGTTTGCCGAGCATTAATAACGCCCCACAAACGCCTATAATACAGTTTGAGTGGTGTTACCACTCCGCAAACGCCCCGCAACCGTGTCGCAACCGCACCGCAAACGCCGGCCGGGCGTTTGCGGAGCGGCACCATAGACGAGAATAGGAGGCTTCAAAGCCTCCTGACTCGACCAGAGGCGTCCGTTTTGTCGCCGCGACGCAAACGCTCCCGTTTAGAACAGCACCATGTGCTGTAATGTGCAGAATTGGCAGAGGCTTTTGGGAAGCGGTAAAAACGCTTCCCAAACGCCTCTCTGCCGCATGCACACAAGGCTAGTGTGAACGTAGCCTAATGGGGTTTAAGCCACACATACAGAAAGGCTTCTTTACAGTAAAAGCTGTAAATGTGTGCAGTAGCCTTTCCATGGAGCTAGTTTCGGCCAACTCAGTGGATTCCTTAAAAAAAGGCTGGATGTGTTTCCTAAAGGCACAATATATTGCTGACCACTAATATATATACTAAGACACAGAGAAACAGCACAGAACAAGGCACTGTGAGTCTGTAATGGGGTTTAACCTATGTATTCAGAAAGGCTTTCTTTTACAGTAAGAGCTGTAAATGTGTGAAGTGTTCTTTCTTATGAGCTGGTTCTAGCCAATGCAGTGGGTTCCTTCAAAAGAAGGACTGGATGTGGTCCTAAAGGCAAAAGAAATTGCTGGCCACTCATAGGTATACTAACACACAGAGAAGTGCAGAACAAGGCATGGTGAGTCAGTATTGAGGTTTAACCTACATATACAGAAAGGCTTCTTTACAGTAAGAGTTGTAAATGTGTGAAGTGTTCTTTCCCAAGAGCTGGTTCTAGCCAACTCAGTGGGTTCCTTCAAAAAAGGCTGGATGTGTTCCTAAAGGCACAAGATATTTCTGACTACTAAATATTTATACTAATACACAGAGAACAGTGCAGAGCAAGGCATGTGAGTCAGTAATGGGGTTTAATCTACACATACAGAAAGGCTTCTTTACAGTAAAAGCTGTAAATGTGTGAATTAGCCTTCCCCGGAGCTGGTTCCTTAAAAAAAAGGGCTGGATGTGGTCCCAAAGGCAAAGGAAATTGCTGGCCACTCATAGGTATACTAACACACAGAAGTGGAGAACAAGCATGGTGAGTCAGTAATTAGGTTTAGCCTACACATACAGAAAGGCTTCTTTACAGTAAGAGCTGTAAATATGTCAAGTGTTTTCCTTTGAGCTAGTTCTTGCCAACTCAGTGGGTTCCTTCAGAAAAGGTTGGATGTGTTCCTAAAGGCACTCAGATTTTTGGGTCTACTAATTGTATAACACAGAGAAATAGTGCAGAGCAAGGCATGCAAGACAGTAATGGGGTTAAAAACCCACACATACATAAAGGCTTATTTACAGTTAAAGCTGTAAATGATGTGAATTAGCCTTTTGCTGGAGCTGCTTCTGACCAACTCAATGGATTCTTCTTCTTCAAATAAAAAAAGTCTGGACTAACACAAAACAGCACGCTAATATGTATTACTAATGACATGAAACAGTGCAGAACAAGGCATGGCGATTCTGTATTTGGATAAAAAGGCTTCTTTACAGTAAGAGCTGTAAATGTTGAAGTGTTCTTTCCCAAGAGCTGGTTCTAGCCAACTCAGTGGGTCCCTTCAAAAGAAAGGCTGGATGTGTTCCTAAAGACAAAGGATATTGCTGGCCACTAATAGATACACTAACACACAAAAAACAGAACAAGACATGTCTAAAAACACATTTGTTTGTACTTTTGGGATGCCAAAAAACTATGAAAGGCACAAGTGCGACACGTTTCATAAACGCACGCAAAAAAAAAAAAAAAAGAAAAAAAAAAGCACTTTTGTATGTGTTCATGGAATGCTCAGGTGTGAATGCAGCCTCAGTCTGTCTGACAGATAACTGACTTTACATAAAAGCATGGCAGAGGGTCTAACCCTTCTCTGCTGTTCTGCTGCTTGCAAAACTTAAAAAAAGCTGGATCTCTACTTATAACAATAAAATATTCTGGTAATTCCAGGTCTGCGCTTGAACTGTAGAGAGGAGAAATCCATGGCACTATTATTTTATTAGTATTGTAATAATATTATCATTATCATAATTAATATGATTTTTGCATTATTATTGTTCTTATTTATAGTATCATTAATATTATTATTCTATGGTTAATACTATTGTATATTTACTTTTTACTATTATTATTATAGTTATTATTGTATTGTTAGTATTATTATCATTAATATTATTATTATTACTATTATCATTAATATTTTTGTATGATTAATAATATTATTGTATTTTTACTTTTACTATTATTGTTCTTATTTTTATTGTATTGTTATTATGATCATTAATATTATTACTGTATTATTATTACTATTAGTATTATCATTAATATTTTTTTTATAAGAATAATAATATTATTGTATTTTTTACTTTTATTATTATTATTGTTTATAGTTCTTATGGTATTGTTATTATCATTAATATTATTGTATTATTATTACTATTAGGATTATCATTATTTTTGTATGATTAATAATAGTAAAAGTAAAAATACAATAATATTAAAGTTCTTATTATTATTGTACTGTTATTATCATTATTCATTTTATTATTGTATTATTATTACTATTAGTATTATCATTATTTTTTTGCATTATTAATTTTTTAATTAATTTTTTATTTTTGTATTTTTACTTTTACTATTATTTTTATTATTATTATATTACTATTATTTTTATTATTGTTATTATTACTATTACCATTATTATTTTTGTATGGTAATAATTTTATTTTTTTTTTTTTTTTTTTTTTTTTTTTATTATTTATTATTAATTATCATCATTTTTTTTCCAATAAATTTTTATTGATTATTGACAATAAAGAAAATAATAACTGTTGCAGTTACATATGATGAGTGAGAAGATTCACAGCATTCAGAAGTATAAACGTAATATATGTAAATATGGAACTTTCAAACAATAACTTTATCATGGAAAATGAAAGAATCACATACAATCTTAAATGGTTATTTTATTATTATTGTATTATGTATTATTATCATTAATATTGTATTATTATTTTTATTACTACTACTATCATTATCATCATGATTAATGTATTATTATCATTAATATTATCATCATGATTATGTATTATTATCATTTTACTATATTAATTTTATCATCATGATTAATATTATCATCATGATTAATGTATTTTCATTTTTACTACTACTACTACTATCATTATCATCATTAATATTATCATCATGATTAATGTATTATGTATTATCATTAATATTGTATTTTTTTTTATTTCTATACTATCATTATCATCATGATTAATGTATTATTATTATCATTAATATTATTATCATCATGATTAAATTATTATTATTATTATTTTTACTACTACTACTACTACTATCATTTATCATCATAATATTATCATCATGATTAATGTATTATTATCATTAATATTGCATTATTATTTTTATTACTATACTATCATCATTATCATCATGATTAATGTATTATTATTATTTTTGTATTGTTGTTGTTATTAATCATTTTATTATATTATTATTCCAGTCGTTGGACAATCATCTTAATAAACAGGACATGAATTTCTCTTGGAGATTATAAAATCCAAACACGACATCCGGCTTGGGTTTATCATTTGGTGAATATTCCCTGCATTGGAGGACATGAAGTCCTCGGTGTGGGATGTCACAGTACCCCTCCAATTCCCCCCCGGTGGGCCCGCTCGCCATCGTTACCCTTTTAAGAGCCAGTGGCGTCTAAGCTGAGCCACAGCTGGTGATAAGCAATATATCACAACATAGACATCCAAATCCCGCATATCCTGACATCATCAGAGAGCCCAGGTGGGTAGAGTGCGCAGAAATGTGTGCAATATGTGGAATGGGTCCACTGAGACGTGACTGAGGGGTGTGCGCTATGGTATATGTGTGAGCCATACGTGTCCGTATGTTTATCTGCCTTCTACTTTATATGTGCCTGGCAGCATTTGGTAGGGCAAATGCAAAATGCAAGAGCTCGTAGTGACCAATCAGAATAATTATTTCAGTGATCTGACTAATGTAGAATGAATCGGATTGGTCACTGAAATTTGGAGATCACGATTTCTTCCATGGTCGAGCAGAATAGGATGGATACGATTCAATCCCAGCTACAGGGAATGTGGTGTGTGCCAGAGTCACCGCTATGTTCACTGCCTGGGATTTGTGTTGCTAAAAAACAACATTGTTATGGCAAATGAATTGAGCCCATTATATGTCTGTGTATAAAAAAATATATAAAATATGTACACACAACACACATGTATGTACACCCACACACACCCACACAACACACACACATAATATATACACACACACACAAATATATATCACACAAAAACACACACACATATATACATACACACATATATATATATACATACACACACATAATGTGTGCATTTATTATTTATCTGGGATCATCTGCCTGTGTGTGTATCATTAGTGACAGTTATCTCATTCACACTCATTCACTTGTTTTAAATCAATATACCTTGTATAGTTACAAATATGTAAACATACTATACACACACATTCACTCACTCACTAACAAACTCAGATACTCATTCACACACTCATCACACACATATTCACTCACTCAAATTCATTCACTCACATACACAACATTCACTCAACACTTATTCATCATGCAAAACACACACAAACTCATACTCATAACTTTTTCATACACACTCATTCACTCGCATACAGACTCGTTCAATCACACAAATCATACATTCACTTACATACACACCCCCACTCACACCATACTCACCCTTACACACACACTTTCCTCAAACACCACACCCCACCCCTCACACACTCTCCCACACACACACATGCATTCACTCCCCACATTCACCCCCATTCACTCATACACACTCACTCACACACACACCCATGTATTCACTTACACACAACACCCACAACACAAAAATACACACCACCCACCACATTCCCAAAACACACACATACCCCCCCACACACACTCCCCCCCCACCCACCCCCCAACCCCCCCCCCCACCACACACCCACACACCAACACACACCCAATCACCCCTCAAACCACACCCACATACATCCAAACACACTTTTTCTACCCCCCCCCCCCCCCACACCCCCCCAACCCCACACACACACATACACACCACACTCCCCCACCACACATACACCCCCCAACCCCCCCCCCCACACACCCCCCCAAACCCCCCCCCCCCCCCCCCCCACCCCCCACCACCCCCCCCCCCACACCCACCCCCCCCCTCCCCCCCCCCCCCCCCCCCCCCCCCCACCACTCCCCCCCCCACCCCCCCCCCACCCCCCCCCCCCATTACCCCCCCCCTTCACCCCCCCACACCCCCCCATTCCCCACACACCCCCCACCCTCCCCCCCCCCACCCCTCCCTCACCCATTCATTTACTTACATACACCTTATTCACTCAAACGCTCGTGCATTTACACGCATTCACTCACCCCCTCCCTCGTTCACCCCCACACACACACCATACATTCACTTTGATCATATACACACAACACTCCCACACTCATACAATCACACACAAAACACATTCTTCCACCCCCACACACACACTTATTCTTCCATTCACAATACACACTTTCACACACACACTCATGCATTCACTTACGTATTCATTCACACATTCACTCCTCATGCATTAACCCCCACCAACACACATTCACTCACACAATTCTTCCAGCTCGCTGGACAACAATCTAAGGCCTAGTTCACACTGGCATTGAAAGCAGACATTTTTTTTAACGCTCCTCAAACCCCCATGCAAATAATACTATGGGCAGTAAACAGTGCTGTTCACATGATCAAAACATGAAGCCTCATGTTGAGTCTGGAGGAGTTTGAAGCCTTTCAACGCCTCTCATTCAAGTCTATGGTGACGCTCCTCAAATGCGCTAGCAGGCGTTTGCGGGGCATTTGCTGTGCGTTAATAACAGTACAGTTTATTTAATTTGTGGTGCGGTTTTAACACTTGTAAAAACCTTGAAAACTGCACATAGGGCATTTGGGAGCATTTTTAATGCCTGTAAAAAGCCAGTCTAATACCCATACTAAAGCTATAGGAGCGTTTGGTAAGAGTAAAAAATGTAGTCAAGTGTGAACAAGCACTAAGTGTCATTTCTGTCTGCTGCTTCATTCCTCTGCTATTAGCAGAGTCACTTCTGACAAATTTTCCTGACACCAAGAGAAAAATGGTGACAGGGGAGGGACCTCCAGCTGACAGACAGTCTTAGCTCTGTTCCTGTGTGGAGTGGAGGGGGGGCGTGTCTCTTCCTTCCAATCAGCTCCCGAAGCTCTCCTCACTGAGCTCTGCAAAGTGTAATTTCAGCTCTCTGCCCCCCCTTTTTTTTTTAACTCTCCTGGGAACCCTTTTGGGTGAAGTTCGGCTTTAAGACATCCCAGCACCCTGCCTCCTCTCTAATGATGCAAGCAGGTGGCTGGGTCTTGGGGTGGAGTTACTCAAATATCAAAATGCCTTGATGGTTGGATGTCAGTCTGGAGGTGTGGCCATTCCTAGTGTAACGTTACCCCCGCAGGAGCCACTTGGTATGATGGGTCCTGTGCTCTCTGCAACAAATCTATAACCCTAAGGGCCAGTTAACACCACAAAAACGCACTTCGGGTGCGTTCCAGATACGCTCACAGTTCCCACCACACTCCAATCCGGTGCAGTTTGCTATGTTCCAGTACAGTTCTGTGCAGAAAAAATGCAACATTTTCTACTTTTTGTTCTGCACTGGAAACTGACTGCACTGGTGTGAACTAGGGCCATTGGAATACATGGAAAACACTGTGCGTGCATTTTTGATGTAGAAAAAAAAAAACGCACTGGACTGCATCTGGTGTGAACTAGCCCTAACTCTGTAACTGTAAATTGTATTGTAAATCTACTGTCTGGCCTTATGTTGTAAAGTTCTGCGTAAACTGGTGGCACCATATCAATCCTGTATAATATTAATAACCCACTTGGCCCCCATCAAAATACCTAGTTGTAAGTTACTCTCTCCTGCATAGCCGAAGTTTTAATATTCTACCAGTCTATGATGGTGCGACCACAAGCAACTTGAGGATTAAAGAGGTGAGTGTATTAATGAAGAGTAAGCAATTGCAATGCAAAAAATGAGTAAACAAGACAACAGAATATGTTCGATGATCTGACTGGCAGGTTAGCCTCACCTACGAGCCATTAACTTACACCGCAATAAGGCTAAGCCCCATGAATGGCATAAAATAATCCTCATTGTATTTATTACACTCAATGTTCACTCTATACATACAGCTCCTACAGTGGGTGGGTGTATGCGTTACTGACAAAGGGGTACCCCTGGAGGTGAAGTATGCAATGTACCTGGTATCTAAATGTCAATGTTGGCTGATTTTGTTGGGGCTCTTCTGTCAGTGGTGCACATGTAACCTGTACACAAAGGATGGCTTATGGCCTGTTAAAAAAATGGGCAATCTCAGTAAGTATTAACTGTGGGCAACAAGGGGTTAAGTGCAATAGTTCTGCTCACCATTCCCGGTAGGCAACAGATTCGTTCCAGTCTCCTTAGCTACCAGTTGTCCCAGAAGTCTCAGTCCGTATGATTGGCCCCTCATCAGTTCCAGTCTGCTTAGCTACCAGTTGTTCCAGAAGTCTCAGTCTGTATGATTGGCCCCTCATTAGTTCCAGTCTGCTTAGCGACCAGTTGTACCAGAAGTCTCAGTCTGCATCATTGGCCCCTCATGGTCAGATTGTTGCGCTGAGGTCCTCTCCGAGGTGGTGGCTCACAGTAACATGCTTTCCCAACCTGGGTCTCAGAGCTGTCTCTGTGGCTCTGTCTTTCTCTAGTCCTTGCAGGATCCATATTCACAGATGCCAGGCACAGACCCCAGCACAAGTCTGCCTCTGTTCGCTCTCCACACTGGTCTGCCCTAGCTCAGATAATTTTGCCCCAGAAAAACACTGTATCCTCGCTTTCTGCAGGGGATTGTGTTCATGTAGTTCTGCAGCCATTAGTCTCCATTCACTTGTATTGAGCAGTGCCCCTTTAGAGACTACATATCCCATGATCCACTGCTGCACAGCAAGTTCTCACTGATACTCCCATCGGCTCAAGCTCTCCTGCTCTCTGATTGAAGTTCACTGCCAGGAGCAGCAGGGAAGCTAAGGGTGAGAGGCAGCTGCTGCAGCACACAGCAGGGAAAAGCTAAGGGTGAGAGGCAGCTGCTGCAGCACACAGCAGGGAAGCTAAGGGTGAGAGGCAGCTGCTGCAGCACACAGCAGGGAAGATAAGGGTAAGAGACAGCTGCTGTAGCACACAGCAGGGAAGCTAAGGGTGAGAGGCAGCTGCTGTAGCACACAGCAGGGAAGCTAAGGGTGAGAGGTAGCTGCTGCAGCACAATGACAATGGAGAGAGGGAAACGAAAGGAGAGAGGCACATGCAGTCAGAAGCACACCCAGCTACACTAGCATGAAGGTATCACCCACATGTGATGCTGAACAGCGGGCCAGGGACAGGACGAGAAGAAAAGAGCTAAATGAAAATGGGCATCCTCCATCCAGGAAAAGAGGCAGGTTCTGACTTGCTACAACTTCTAATTCACACAGTGTGTAGTGAAATCTGAATCTTAGTACAGAAAAGAATGAAGGTCAGGCTGACGGTCTTCTACTGAAAATGCCCTGTATGTGTTTTCTTGCATTTCAGAACTCTGCAATTGTACTTCAAGCCTTTTCTTCAGCAGTTTCCCAGGGCAAGCACTGAATATTTTTTGGGGCCCTCAATGCCTGTGGCGGTGCCGTCTATCCACTCTGATTCTGGTAAGTTGTCTTGGCTTGAAGTGGTTCTAGAAATGTTCCAGCTGCAAGAAATGCCGAATTTCAGGGTTTTCCCAGATGTTCTCATTCATTGAAAATAATTATAACATGATTTGGGGTTTCCCTCGGTAAAAAACACTTGCACTTCCAGTCTTCACAGGTTGTAGAAGGTGTCAAATATTCAGCTTTAGAGAAGATTCCAGCACAACCGTTGTATGATTAGCCAGCTGTATGGAATGAAGCAGGACCTACCACTTCACATCCCTCCAGTAGGCCCCCAATTGACCTCTCCATTCTATGGACTCCTATAGCTGGCCATACCCTAGTAGACATCTCCTTCAAAACTTTTTCTTTAAGAATGTTCAGTTTGATTTTTTTTAATGCTTAATGGGGTCAAATCAGCGTTCGTTTTCGACCGCAGTGATGTTTCTTAGGGGTGTTTCGAAGGAATGGTTTCTTGGGAGACCAAATGTCTAACAGTGAAGGTGGATTTCTTTCAGGAAAGTCCATTCATTCCACAATTGAATTTTAAAAGCTAGACTGTTCCAAAAATGCAAGGTTTCAAATTCAGATGATGAAATCTGAAATGATGAAGTACTTTCCGGTGACCTTCGTCACCATATCGGACGTTCTGAGAATTAGCGTAAAAACTTTTGTATGAATGTTCTTGCAAACGTTTGTAAATCTACTAGAGTACGGCCGGGTATGAGGAGTTGAATGGTGACATTTTCCAATGGCATGTCAAGGGTCTTCATTTAAAGTGTTACTAAACCCACAACAGTAAAATCAGTCTGTATATGCAGTAGTGACATGAAAATTCTGGTGCCGATACTGAAAACGAAAATTCAGGGTCCAGGGAGACCAGATATAGTGAATGCAGCGTCCGGGGAGACCAGATATAGTGAATGCAGCGTCCGGGGAGACCAGATATAGTGAATGCAGCGTCCGGGGAGACCAGATATAGTGGATGCAGGGTCCTGGGAGACCGGATATAGTGAATGCAGGGTCCGGGGAGACCGGATATAGTGAATGCAGGGTCCGGGGAGACCAGATATAGTGAATGCAGGGTCCGGGGAGACCAGATATAGTGAATGCAGCGTCCGGGGAGACCGGATATAGTGAATGCAGAGTCCGGGGAGACCAGATATAGTAGATGCAGGGTCTGGGGAGACCGGATATAGTAGACGCAGGGTCCGGGGAGACCAGATATAGTAGACGCAGGGTCCGGGGGGAGACCAGATATAGTAGACGCAGGGTCCGGGGAGACCAGATACAGTGGATGCAGGGTCCGGGGAGACCAGATATAGTGAATGCAGGGTCCTGGGAGACCAGATATAGTGAATGCAGGGTCCGGGGAGACCAGATATAGTAGATGCAGGGTCCGGGGAGACCGGATATAGTAGACGCAGGGTCCGGGGGAGACCGGATATAGTAGACGCAGGGTCCAAGGGAGACCAGATATAGTGGATGCAGGGTCCCGGGAGACCAGATATAGTGAATGCAGGGTCCCGGGAGACCAGATATAGTGAATGCAGGGTCCGGGGAGACCGGATATAGTGAATGCAGGGTCCGGGGAGACCGGATATAGTGAATGCAGGGTCCGGGGAGACCGGATATAGTGAAAGCAGGGTCCTGGGAGAACGGATATAGTGAATTCAGAATCCGGGAAGACCGGATATAGTGAAGGCAGGGTCCAGGGAGATAAGACATAGTGAATGCGGGGTCCGGGGAGACCAGATATATTGAATGCAGGGTCCGGGGAGACCGGATATAGTGAATGCAGGGTCCAGGGGAGACCAGATATAGTGAATGCAGGGTCCGGGGAGACCGGATATAGTGAATGCAGGGTCCGGGGAGACTGGATATAGTGAATGCAGGGTCCGGGGAGACCGGATATAGTGAATGCAGGGTCCGGGGAGACCAGATATACTGAATGCAGGGTCCGGGGAGACTAGATATAGTGAATGCAGGGTCCGGGGAGACCGGATATAGTGAATGCAGGGTCCGGGGAGATCAGATATAGTGAATGCAGGGTACAGGAAGACCAGATATAGTGAATGCAGGGTCCGGGGAGACCAGATATAGTAAATGCAGGGTCCGGGGAGATCAGATATAGTGATGCAGGGTCCGGGGAGACCAGATATAGTGAATGCAGGGTCCGGGGGGAAGACCAGATATAGTGAATGCAGGGTACAGGGAGACCGGATATAGTGAATGCAGGGTCCGGGGAGATCAGATATAGTGAATGCAGGGTCCGGGGAGACCAGATATAGTGAATGCAGGGTCCGGGGAGACCAGATATAGTGAATGCAGGGTACAGGAAGACTAGATATAGTGAATGCAGGGTCCGGGGAGACCAGATATAGTGAATGCAGGGTTTGGGTTTAGTAACACTTTAAGGCTTGGATCACTCCTACAGGTGTGACCAAGTGCAAGAGCATTGCCAGGCATTTTTTCACGTGTTCCTGCGTGTTGCACATCGGACAGCCCATTTGTTTCAATAACGTGTTGTACCGAGCCGCGGGGGGGTGCCATTACCCTTAAAGGTAACGCTGTGTGTCTGCTAAAGGGCAACGCGTTTCTGTGCTTGTTGGTAGAGCGAGAGTTTATTATGTACGGTCTTTTAGGCAGATACAAGGCAAAAATGAATATAGCTGCTGTACAGCAGAACTCAGAAAGGGAGTGAAGAAGCAGAACAAGGAGCTAGCCAGGTGTGCTGCACTGTTAGCAGCATACTATAGGGGGAAAAGGCAGAGTGACAGACAGATGAGCTCATCAGCCTGCTGCTTGTTCTATTCCTGTTTGGGCCAAGACCTAGGAAGGGACAGGGCCTGTAAGTGAAAGTGAAACTGCAGCAGAGAAAAGTCAGCTCCCGTACCCTGCCAGACAGGGCTGTTCTGTGTGGCAGAGCTGCATAAATCCCAGGACTGGATGGACAGAAATTTTGACAGGTAAAACAGCTCCCTTATATATATATTTGTTTGCTTGGAATTTAACTTCAATGATTCTTTAGGTATGCTGTACATGTAAATGAGATCAGCTTGATATCAATCATGAAGCCCATGAATGCTAAAGTACTAATATTGTTTGTATATATTATTTGTTAAATGGGTACATTGCTTTGTATAACCGAGGACAAAACTTTTGAGAACGTCACAAATATTACATTTCACAAAGTCTGCAGCTTCAGTGTTTTGAGATCTTTTTGTCAGATGTTACTATGATATAGTGAAGTATAATTACAAGCATTTCAGAAGGTCCAAGGCTTTTATTGACAATGACATGAAGTTTATACAGAGTCAATATTTGCAGAGTTGACCCTTCTTTTTCAAGACCTCTGCAATCCACCCTGGCATGTTGTCAGTCAACTTCTGGGCCACATCCTGACTGATGGCAGTCCATTCTTGCATAATCAATGCTTGGAGTTTGGTGGAATTTGTGGGGTTTTTTGTTCACCGGCCTCTTGAGGATTGACCACAAGTTCTCAATGGGATTAGGGTCTGGGGAGTTTCCTGGCCATGGACCCAAAATGTCTCTGTTTTGTTCTCCAAGCCACTCAAGTTCTCAAGTTTTCCCTATGGAAAGGTGCTATATCATGCTGGAAAAGGCAATGTTCGTCACCAAACTGTTCTTGGATGGTGGGGAGAAGTTGCTCTCGGAGGATGTTTTTGGACCATTCTTCATTCATGGTTGTGTTCTTAGACAAAATTGTTAGTGAGCCCACTCCCTTGGCTGAGAAGAAACCCCACACATGAATGGTCTCAGGATGCTTTACTGTTGGCATGTCACAAGACTGATGGTAGTGCTCACCTTTTCTTCTCCAGACAAGGTTTCTTCTGGATGCCCCAAACAATTGGAAAGGGGATTCATAAGAGAAAATGACTTTGTCCAAAGTCCTCCACAGTCCATTCTCTCTGCCTTTTGCAGAATATCAGTCTGTTCCTGATGTTGTTCCTGGCTTCTTTGCCGTCCTTCTTGACACCAGGCCATCCTCCAAAAGTCTTCGCCTCACTGTGCGTGGAGATGCGTCACACCTACCTGCTGCCATTCCTGAGCAAGCTCTGCACTGGTGGTGTCCTGATCCTGCAACTGAATCAACTTTAGGAGACGGTCCTGGCGCTTGCTGGACTTTCTATGGTGCCTTAAAGCCTTCTTCACAACAAATGAACCTCTCTCCTTGAAGTTCTTGATGATCCGATAGTTGATTTAGGTGCAATCTTAGTAGCAGCAATATCCTTGCCTGTGAATCCCTTTTTGTGCAAAGCAATGATGACTGCACGTTTCCATGCAGGTAACCATGGTTAACAGAGGAAGAACAATGTTTTTAAGCACCACCCTCCTATTAAAGCTTCCAGTCTGTTATTCTAACTCAATCAGTGATCTCCAACCTTGTCCTCCTCAACACTGACACCTGTGTTAACGAGAGAATCACTGACATGATGTCAGCCGGTCCTTTTGTGGCAGGGCTGAAATGCAGTGGAAATGTTTTTTTGGGGGGTTTAAGTTCATTTTCATGACTTTGAAATGAATTCCAACTCATCTGATCAGTCTTCATAACATTCTGGAGTATATGCCAATTGCCATCATAAAAACTGAGGCAGCGGATTTTGTAAAAATGTATATTTGTGACATTCTCAAACCTTTTGGCCAGGGCTGTAGTGCTGCACAATGGTTGCGCTTTACAGCTCCTTCTCACCATACAAGTCTATTAGTTGGCTGACTCAATAAAAACAATGCACTCCCTGTGCAGCTGATATCTTATTTCAACAGCTGTTAAGCAGAGAGTGTGAATGAGGCTGAAAAAGCTTAAATGATTCCCTGGTACAGTCTTCTCTTACATTGGCAATAATTACACGCTTTGATAAACGATCTGTTTATTTTCTGACTAATCCCTTCTGATGTTAATAATCGATCTATAGTCAAGAACCCATTCGATATGCCAAGATCAGGAAGTGGATTTCGATCGATTGTGGAGATGCGATTCTAACTTATGATTGTAAATG